ACATTTTCTGATTTGTGACATTACTTTTTAAGTAATGCTAAAACACTGCTGGTCACTTTCAGAAGTTATAGTGATTCTTCATTTTCCAAGAAAGAATGTGAAACAAATTGGTTATATAATTTTCATTTTTAAATATTTTAAAATATCATTTAAATAGATTTTTCACACTTTAAGCAATATCGTATCGCATATCGCATTTTTTAACAAGATATCGCATTTTTCTTCAATATCGCACAGCCCTAGTGTGAATATTAGACTTGTCCTAATTTTGAAAAGGATGTGGTAAACAAACATTTAGCAAATTATGCTGCTTACCCAAAAAACAGTTCACCCAAAAAACTACCTATTTCATGGAACATGGAAGAATATATTTTGAATATATTCATAAACATTAAAGAATGTTTTATTCTCTGTACAATTAAAGTTGACATCCCTTTAAGTGGAACGAGGCTTGTTGTCCCCTAATGAAGAGCAATATTTTAGAACTAAAACGGCATCATAAATTTACATTAAATTTGTACATACTTGACTGAAAGGTTCATAAAAATAATTTAAATCTAGTCTAAACTGTGTTTATATATATATATATTTTTTTTTTAAATATGTAATAAATATATTAATATATGCTAGCATTAAAAAGTTTGGTGTCAGTATATATTTTAAGTGATTAAAAAAAAAGTTCACCAAGGCTGCATTTAATGCAAAATGATATAAAAATAGTAATACTGTGAAATAATGACAATATACAATTACTGCTTTGCTTTTTAATATATTTTAAAGTGTAATTCATTTCTGTGATATCAAAGCTGAATTTTCAGCAGCCATCAGAAATCATTCTAATATGCTGATTTGCTGCTCAAGAAACATTTATAATTATTAACAATGTTGAAAACAGTTGTACTGCTTAATATTTTATCTTAATATAATATTTTAATATGTCTGTTTCTTTTGATCAATTTAATGCATCCTTGCTATATATATATATATATATATATATATATATATATATATAAAAACATTGAAAAAGGAAAGAAGCCAATAAGTGCCAACATGGAAACTCCTTCAATACAGGAAGAAGCAGTTTATTTTATCTATGCTTGTAAATTGTGTATTTGTTCTTTTTTACTGACTGTTCACTTGCCTTTAATCATGTTTGAACTTTCTCAGACTATAGTTTTTGCTGTGGTATATGAAGAAGTACTTAAAGTGTGTGGAAAGCACAGTTACAATGATATAAAATTAGTGTCATTTATGTTTTTGTTTGTATGTTCACATTGATGTTAAATTACCTTTTCTGATTTGTGACATTACTTTTTAAGTAATGCTAAAACACTGCTGGTCACTTTCAGAAGTTATAGTGATTCTTCATTTTCCAAGAAAGAATGTGAAACAAATTGGTTATATAATTTTCATTTTTAAATATTTTAAAATATCATTTAAATAGATTTTTCACACTTTAAGCAATATCGTATCGCATATCGCATTTTTTAACAAGATATCGCATTTTTCTTCAATATCGCACAGCCCTAGTGTGAATATTAGACTTGTCCTAATTTTGAAAAGGATGTGGTAAACAAACATTTAGCAAATTATGCTGCTTACCCAAAAAACAGTTCACCCAAAAAACTACCTATTTCATGGAACATGGAAGAATATATTTTGAATATATTCATAAACATTAAAGAATGTTTTATTCTCTGTACAATTAAAGTTGACATCCCTTTAAGTGGAACGAGGCTTGTTGTCCCCTAATGAAGAGCAATATTTTAGAACTAAAACGGCATCATAAATTTACATTAAATTTGTACATACTTGACTGAAAGGTTCATAAAAATAATTTAAATCTAGTCTAAACTGTGTTTATATATATATATATATTTTTTTTTTTAAATATGTAATAAATATATTAATATATGCTAGCATTAAAAAGTTTGGTGTCAGTATATATTTTAAGTGATTAAAAAAAAAGTTCACCAAGGCTGCATTTAATGCAAAATGATATAAAAATAGTAATACTGTGAAATAATGACAATATACAATTACTGCTTTGCTTTTTAATATATTTTAAAGTGTAATTCATTTCTGTGATATCAAAGCTGAATTTTCAGCAGCCATCAGAAATCATTCTAATATGCTGATTTGCTGCTCAAGAAACATTTATAATTATTAACAATGTTGAAAACAGTTGTACTGCTTAATATTTTATCTTAATATAATATTTTAATATGTCTGTTTCTTTTGATCAATTTAATGCATCCTTGCTATATATATATATATATATATATATAAAAACATTGAAAAAGGAAAGAAGCCAATAAGTGCCAACATGGAAACTCCTTCAATACAGGAAGAAGCACCTCATAAAGTGTGAAGAGAGAATCAACAAAGATGTAATCTATACAGAGTGGCAATATTTAGTTTAGATTTTTTTTCTCAAACTTCCATTTGTGTTGTTGCATAGTTGAATAATTGTTTCCAAACTTTTAACATGTACATTTCTTGAATAAATTTTTAGGATTTGTCTTTATCCTTACTTCCATTACAGGAAGTATCCTTTATCCTTATTTCCTCATATTACAGACGTACAAGCCCAAACATGTTGAGCTTAAAGGAACATGTTGCACTAAAATAAACTGAGTCACTCTCCTGGGCTATAAAGAACAGATCCTGTCACAGGGACTGTACAAGACGTCTTCATGGCACAGTCCATTTGTCCCCTTCATAAAGAGTAGGAAAAGTGAAATTTGCTATATGAAAAAGGAGAGTTTCATTTGTAATTTTCATTTAATTTTTTTTTTCAGAGCTCTCTTTGCAATGATCAACAGAAACCTTGTTACAGTGAAAAATCCAGGTACTATTATCGTTAAACCTTTTTTTCACACAATATTCTTATCTATGTTGTTTGTGTTAAAACTGCCTTTGTTTCCTTTTACAGATACTCATTCTACCTTCTCGGAACCCAGAAGTCAAAGAGAACCAGATAGAGGGCCCGGGGTAAACGTACTTTTATACTCACACACTTAGATTCACAGAGTATTGACCCATTCCACAGAGTTGCCCTGGTAGTGCTTTGTTTGTTTTATAGAGCCCCTGCTGTGTTTGAGATTGAAGCATGACTGAAACCCCACTGTCTGTTCTAGGACACTGATTCAGACTCTCGCTCATCTACCTCACAACAGCAGCGCAGGAGGAGGAGAAGCAGTGATCCTGGTAAACGCACACACCACAGAGCAAAAGACACACCAGCTGTGTCCTGTTGAGTGTGTATGAAATTGCACGCTTCATCAGCTGGGTTAGATGGGATTTCAGATATAGCTGTTTATTCTAGTCTTGACGTAGTCATTAGGAAGGGCTTGTCCATTTTTTTTTCTAGCTCAGTCTGATACAGTTACAGTCAAACTAATGGGTTAATTTTGAAAAAATAATTGCTGTTTGATCTAACTGAAAAGTAAACATATTTAAGTGTACCATCAGTTGATTTAGATAAAATCTGGCGTTTAGATTTCATGATTTACGGCTAGTTTTTTACTTGTGAGAGTTTTGTTCTTTTTCAAGAACTGTTTGTTTTTCCTGCCTTGTATATTTTGTGAATCAACCAGTATACATTAAATCAGTCTCAACCACTGAGCAGGGAAAACTGTCCCTCGTGACGGATCATTTCCTACTATCCCTTCAGTCCCGACAGAGGACTGTATGTGGGTAAACATGTGGTACCGTAATGACTGCTCTCTCTGTCACTGTAAACATCTCAAAAGGACACTGAGATCTGGAGGCTGTGCAGAATGTGCTCAGATGACTGCTACTCTTCAATGGCCCATTTTTAAACCTCAGCTATGCACACAAAGGCAGTTTGTTGAGCAAGCCGTACCAGATGCACCATTAAAACAGGGTTATTGCTCCTTCTTGGCCCATAAGTGTCCAAAGTTGAGTGCATGTAACAGGAACGTCGGCAAGAAAACTGATTTACCCTAATGCAATATGCAGTATACACTTGAGCTTGTGTTTAACATAATGAAAAAGAAACAGATTGGAAATGTTTGTAAAGCCTACAGAGCAGTGTGGTTCACTTACGTGAAAATCTTTAGACAGACACGAAAGGGGGCATGTTCGGGGGGCATGTTCTTGTGTCAAAAAATAACTTTTAGTGCTAAACTTACTTTGTGCTTTCTGTAGAGAGTACTTCAGCTGAAGACGAGCCCAGAGAACGCAGAAAGAGACACAAGTCAGACAGCTTCTCCCTGACATTTGATGACAGTCTGTCTTGGTGTGTGATTGGCGGCCTACACCGGGAGAGGGGGAACAGTGAGTCTTCGGACGCACAAAGCAAGTCTGTGAGTAGCACCTTTAAATGTTCATTCACATTGTTTTGGTTTATCAGCAACTGTAACTTTTTTGAGCTGTCATTTGGCCCTTTCTAACCAGTGTTTTATTTGTTTTACAGGATGTAGGTATCTCTCACAGTGAGGGCAGTGATGAAAGTGTGGACTCTGACTCTGATAACTTTAGTGTGGAGTTTGAGGTGGAGTCCGTAGACTCTGACGCCTACAGTGAGAACGATGAGGATTCATTGCCAGGAGAGAACGAGGTTTCAACACAAACTCCTGTTCTATTCAGAGAGAGATTAACTGATGATCTAACTAACCTAACCTGTTTAACAGTCCTCAACTCACTGCAATTCTGTATTTGCTTTTTCAGGTGTATGAAGTCACAATCTTTGCAGAGGATGAAGATTCATTTGATGAGGATACCGAGATAACTGAGGCAGTACGTAATATTTTAGTACCTGATGTTTTTCTTAGTGAAACGCGAAAAAAATTATTCTGGACTTGTATATCTATCAGGATTAGATTGGATTGTGAAAAGGTGGGGGTGAAAAAAAACAACATTTGTGAGCCTGCCAAAAAGGACAGCTGTTTCAGAGATGTTAAAAAAAGTTATTAAATTTTGTTGAAAGATCATGATGACATTTTTTTCTTCTGAACTTTGCCCTCTGATTAATTGTGCATTAGGGTTGTGACAGTGAGGAAATTTTCCCACCGGTTAATCGACGTGTGACAACACCGGTATCACCGTGGGGGCGGGGGCGTTCCCTCTTTTCCTCGCTTTCCTTCTCTTTTAAATGGCTTGTAAAAGCGATGTGCGCATTTTACATTCACTTTCAAATAGCGGCAATTCGGAGTAAAGGAATTGTTCGTTTTTAGTTCGTTTTGAATTTATCCTCGATTTCCTTCGCTTTTAAGTAGCTTAAAAGTGCCGTGCGCATTTTACTTTCACTTTCTAATTAGCGGCAGTTCGGCGTCAATTGCTTAGATGCAACAACAAAATACAACGTCAAACTCACTTTAGCGTATATATAAAACATCTAACTTTTATTAACAAAACAATTAAAAATACACCATGCTATAGGGCAGGCTATGCCTGATATAAAATAACAAATAGCTTACATAGAGTTTAAATAGGTATACAAAAATTTATAATATATAACCAAATAAATAAGAAACGTAGAAAGTTCATTAGCAAAACGAAAGGAATTGTTCGTTTTTAGTTCGTTTTGAATTTATCCTCGATTTCCTTCTCTTTTAAGTTGCTTAAAAGTGTCGTGCGGATTTTACTTTCACTTTCTAATTAGCGGCAGTTCGGCGTCAATTGCTTAGATGCAACAACAAAATACAACGTCAAACTCACTTTAGCGTATATATAAAACATCTAACTTTTATTAACAAAACAATTAAAAATACACCATGCTATAGGGCAGGCTATGCCTAATATAAAATAACAAATAGCTTACATAGAGTTTAAATAGGTATACAAAAATGTATAATATATAACCAAATAAATAAGAAACGTAGAAAGTTCATTAGCAAAACGAGTAAGAAAGCTTGGAGGCACGGCATACACCTTGATGTCAAATAAAATAAATAAATGACAGTTTAAATAAAGTATAAATCAGCAAACAATGTGGAACCAATTAAATAAGAAACGAATGTTTAAAAAAACGTCCTAAATCAGATAAACGGCAAAAGTCAACAGGCTTTTCAAAATTCTAAATATTGCCAAACAGGCACTTTTGCATTTAGTTTTCGAAACTAAATCATCCGCGATCGTCTTGTCTGTCTCACCTCACTCTTCTTGTCAGTCAGCTCGACTCACTCTCCTCACTGGAGAAGTGAAATCTGATCTGAGATGCCGTTTGACACGCTGCATTGAGTATCCACATAAATTTTTTAATTGTAGTGTCTGCTCTTTTACTGAACTAAATTGTTTTTATTACTATAAAAAATCAAAACGACGGTGGGGGTTGGTGACGCGGTGGGCAAGTGACGTAACCGTTGTTGCGGCTTAACACCACGGTGGTATCACCGTCAGCACCGTCTATCCGCAAACTTATTGTGCATGATACCACCAGGAATGTGTATTAAATTACATGCCATGCTGACTTTAATGGGACCATATTTGAAACTTTTATAGCAATATTTTTTTCCCACTCTTAATTGTAGTTCAGGTTTTTTGCCCCAAACCCAATTTTTCATGTCCATTTTCATCCTTTCTCTGACCCACAGATTTAAACAGGCTTTTTTATTTCAAAAGCAAGAAAAATGTAATAATCTAAGATAACAATGTGTTCACTCAGGACTACTGGAAGTGTGCCGAATGTAACAAGCTCAACCCTCCTCTTCCTCGGCATTGCAAAAGCTGCTGGAACGTCCGACCGGGTTGGCTTCCAGAAACACAATCCAACAGGGAAAACACCTCCACTAACACTCAACCCAGCACAGAAGACGCCAGCATCACCACAACTCCCAGCTCAGCCTCGGATGACAAATTGCTTCCTTCCAAACCCTCAAGTCCTCTTCCAGAAACAGATGAAGGAGTGGATGTACCCGATGGCAAGTGCTCGCAATCTCCCATCGGCGCTAAAGACGAACTTCTCTCCGGCTCTATGACTGACTCTCAGACCTCGTCATCGCAGCCCTCAACCTCTTCTGGTGGGGGCAGCAGCCAGGAAGAGACCCCCGAGCTAGAGCGCTACAACAGCCTAGAGGCCTACCTGCCCGCCACTTGCCTTGAGCCCTGCGTCATCTGTCAAAGTCGCCCCAAGAACGGCTGCATCGTCCACGGAAGAACTGGACACCTTATGGCTTGCTACACTTGCGCCAAGAAATTAAAGAACCGGAACAAGTTGTGTCCGGTGTGCCGAGAGCCCATTCAGTCAGTCGTGTTGACCTACGTGAGCTGAGGCACAGCAGATATACCTCCTCTCCTCTCACATGAAGTTCGGGATGCTTATGTTGCCTTGTCTTATAGTTCTAAAACTTTTGAGTTCAAATTCAATATTTGTAATATGTTTCTTATTGATTAATACATTTTATTTATGACTCAAGCGAGGTTTTCGCTCACATGCCGGGTAGCAAATTCACAGATCTGTGTTTTAAGGGTTGAGTTTAAGGGCTTGGAATTAAAACTACTTAAGGACTTGCAGAGATTCTGTATACATTATATCAATTACTAGAAATGTTTGTAATAATTTAATTTATGTACATGCAGATGTATAGGTTTCATGTTAATCTGAGTTATTTGCCGCACTGAAACGTGTTCCTGAGTTGTAGCTCTTGAGACACTCCTTTAATTTTGTTCCTCCTCTGGAAGGAAATGCTCTTCTGCACAGTTTTCTGCTGCAATGACTCTGTCTTATTTTCTCTGAGTGAGGCATAATAAATGATTTTGAGGCTCTTCTGCTTTTACAGTACAAGTGAAATTCTGGCTTTCTGCCGCTTGTTGTGAATGTGTTTCTTGGTTTTGTTATTGTTGTCTAATGGTTTTTCTAGCTGATTGGCTGTTAGAAGGTGGCAGGTGTCAGTTTCATGTGCTGTTGTTTGTCGACTAGTACTCAGCGGTCACCCTTAGAAAGATCTAGTTACTAGGGACCCACTTTTCACTCAATATCAAGAAACATGTTCTGACTTGTTTCTCTCTAATGGCAACCTGGCACAAACATCAGCCTCTGTGCTGATTCTCGATCTCGAACAAGCAAATCACCAAAAGGCATTCTGGGTTGAGCGAGCGGTGCTGAGCGTTTTGAGCGAGCGGAGCGGAATCTTCAGAAAGACGCTCTGCGCTCTTAAGGAAATATTACCACTCCGCTCCCCGCTCCGCTCACGCTCCGCTCCGCTCACATGCTCTGTTTGTTTCTGCAAGATGTAGTACAAAACTCACCTCACATGTGGTTACTTAATTTGAATTGTGCAAAATAGTTGCAACATGTCAAATGAGCCTGGAAATGTTATGCTAATTTTGTTCCCTTTTCTAACAGCATATTTTCCAGATGTTCTACAAATGAACTGCACTCAGAACTTGATTGCTGAAACCAGATGTTTTCAGACTTGAGGTATGTAATTTGCTGCACTCTTTATACTTGCACAGCAGGAATTACAATCAAGACAACCAAAACGTGTGTGTGTGTGGATGAAGGAATGGATGAAATAAGTTCAAGCATCAGAAAATAACATGAATAGCTATAGCCAACTCCCTGTTTGAGCCCAGTTTAACTACTTTATGACCAGTGTTGGGGGTAACGCATTACAAGTAACGTGAGTTACGTAATCAGATTACTTTTTCAAGTAACTAGTAAAGTAACGCATTACCTTTTTAATTTACAAGAGAATATCGGAGTTACTTTTTCAAATAAGTAACGCAAGTTACTTTTTTTTTCCAATTTATTGATTGACAGCTCTCCTGTCCCCATGTTGAGAGAAATCAGAAGATGTTACTGTAGTTCTAAAATAAATATCTAACAACAACAAAAACACAGATTCAGTATTCCTCAAAATGAATAAAAATAATGCAACTCCGAATATGACATAAACCTGCAATAATTAAATGTTAAACAACACAAATATGCTTTATGTATTTAATCCTATTCTATTAGCTAATGTCTTTGCTTCTGACCTTCGATGATCCAGTTTAACCACTAATAAGCACAAATGACTCTAGACAAACATTTGTCTTTTTTTATTGCTGAAGTGTGTTGAAATCTCTTTTTCTGCATTCTACTGTACGGACGTAAATTGACTTTCCCTTCAGCCTGAGGCTTATTCATTTCACTTTTGGTGTTAAAAGGCTTTTATATTTGCCAAAAATAGAACTTTTTTTATTTTAAAAACAAACAAGCAAGCCCTGTCCAGATTTAAAAAGTAACGTAACGCATTACTTTCCATAAAAAGTAACTAAGTAACGTAATTAGTTACTTTTTTTTATGGAGTAACGCAATATTGTAATGCATTACTTTTAAAAGTAACTTTCCCCAACACTGTTTATGACAGCATCACTTATTAGTTATTACTTACTATATGTTTTTTTTTTTTTTTGGCCATGGTTTTGCCATAAATTGATTTTCTTACCATTGTACTTTGATGGATGTTCTATAAACGTTACTTGCGTTTTTTTTTAAATTCTCCAATAAAAGTTTCTGAAAATAATCTGCCCTGTGCCAACACCTTTTGACTGTCAATTACTAAATATGTAATTTTTCATTTTGCTTCACGAAGTCTGTTCCAGGAAACTGACTGAAGATCACATAGGCGTCCAACAATGTCATTAACACATCTGTTGCTTGGAGCTCATATATAGTTCCAAACCCAGCTCCCTGAATCAAAGAACTTCCTCACATTTAATAGCAAGTTTAACATGAAATTAAAATCTGTAGATAGAAGAAAGCCAAGAAATCAGCTTTTTGTAATGAAATTTGGTTGCATTTGTAGGCATTTAAGGGGTTATAAATCAATTCTTCTTTAAATGCACTTCAAAGAAAATGTTACATTGGCAGAATTTTGATTAAGTTAATATTCTGACATGCCATCAATTCATTTTGGTGTGAAGGAACAATCCTGTTCAAAAGTTTGGGGTCGGTATGATGTTTTTGAAAGGCATCTGTTGTGCTCAAAAACACCGTAAAAACAGTAATATTGTGAAATACTATAACAATTTAAATACACAAGCTACGTTTATATTTTAATATACATTCAAATGTAATTTGTCCATGTCAGACGCATTAGAATTTTCAGCAGTCATAACTCCAGTCTTCAGTGTCACTTGATCCTTTTTTGGTGCTCAAGACATATTTCTTATTTTCAAGGCTGAATAATAGCAATGTTTAATAAATGTGTTTTGACTATCTTTTCACTATTTCATCATGGAATTTTGGAAAAAATCTGATCATGCAATATTTGTGCATCCTCCTATTTGCAGCTTTATATGTGAGAGTCTGCCTTTACTACTTTCAGTATCTTTACGGCAGCATATATTATTTCGCTATTGTGCCATCTGCCAGCTATAAGATATTACATCATAAACAGCCTTTTAGCTATTATATCTAGTTACTGAGCCTTTAATCTGACAGTTCAGATCAGATCAAGAGCAAAAGCAACCCTGCATAAATGCATTTCATCAGCATGTACTCATCCAAGATGCTTTTAAAACTGGCTGGGGACATGACCCTGTCATCTGATATAGGCTATGCAACACCCATACCATAAGTTTTTATATAGCCTACAGCGCATCCAAAAAGTATTCAAACCTTTATTTTTTTACTTTGCAGTAATGATGTGAAAAAAACAAAACGTCCCATCATCCTGTAGCCTCCAGACAGATTCACTGCACCACTTTCTCTTTTAAAAATCTGCCTCAAAGAATTTTTAGGACATGTTATGAGGTTGTACATCAACAATGCGCGAACCATTTAAACGAAACTGCAACATATGACTTGTTTTGCATTGTATAAAGCGCCTGACTTGAGAGAAAGTTGAACTCTGAGACGAGGTGTTCAAGGATTACACCGCTAGAGGGCACTGTGACACTTCGTTCTCATTCATTCTCAATAGTAGTCCACCCTAGCACAATAATTTGTGCCTCCTATTTCAATGTATTAGTATAATCAATAAGTAATTAAAAAAAACGACCTATATTTTCACATGGCAATTAAAGAATCATCTTTTTTTAATTATTTATGAAACGGTAGGATTGTTTATTTCCTGAGATGATTTTTTTTTCTTCATCGAAAGCCAGATTCACCTCATCATTAAAAAGGTCAAGCTCGGTTCCTCGGCCAATCCAAAGGCTGAACCTTTGTCTGTAGGTAAAACAGTTCAAAGGGAATAACTCGTATGATATATTGATTGCATGCTTATGGATGTATAGGGAAGCTGCCATTCATTTATAATAAGATCTGAGCTCAGTTTTCTTTCCTTTGCTCTTGGAGTGTGTATCTCTGACTGTGATGATGTTGTGGAAGGGTGTGTGTGTGTGTGTGAAATAAAACGGCTAATCTCTCTGTTCCTCTAAACATACTGGGAACCCAAATCCATAATCCTTATAAATGAAACCAACTGTACTGGAAAATTGTGATTTTTTTTTTATTATAATTTTTTTTAAATATCTGTATATTCAAAACCTAATTTCACATTTATAACTCATGTCTGAAACATACAAGAAGCATAATTTAAACTAGTGTACACTCCATTTCCTGTATTCTGCAAAAAGGATAATGATAAAATGTTGGCACAGTTATGATACACAGCCGAGAAAAATATAATGCAGCAGTCATCGGACTTAAATAAAAGGCTTTGTTGTTGAAATGACTATAAAGAAAAACAGACAGGCATTCTTTATTTATCCCTGGAGGAAAATTCATGGCATTTGTCACAGGAAAACAAAATGGCACAACAACAAATCAACAGAAAAATAACTGTTTGCGAATGCTGAACAGCCAACCGTTAGTATCTTGCTTGACAGCCTCACTGCATGTGCGACTGAGCTTTTAAATCCGCAGTTATCGCATTCTTACAGAAGGGTCGGATGAACTTCTTGGACCGTGGGCAGGCCGAGGGTCACGTCTCCAGATCAGCCTGACGTGTCGGCCTTGTTCTGGTTCGGTCACTCGAATACAACTGGATCCTTGACAGTCATTTGTTCTGTTTGTCAGCTAAAGCGTTTGTTACAGTCAGGAAACAGTGAAGCTGTTTGTATGCCGGAGTCTAGAAACACTGACATGTGATGTGCCAGCCTGCAGCATGCCAACAGCTCCCGTCATTTGTTTCTGGTGATTGGCAGTTTACTGTGCATCCCATTATGTGTTGTTTTTTCCTGCAGTTGCTTTTTTAGGCCGACCTGATCAGAGATTGTTGCATAACTGTAGATGCTAATGGGCTACAAGTACTATTATTACTAGCAATGCTTCCATGGAGTTTGAGAGCAAACTGATTTTGTTAAAGTACACAAGCGATTACATTATTATTCTTATTCCAGAGAATACTGCTTCTCTCTCTTTTTGTATGCCGTCTGTATGACTATACTGTATCTTATGGTGGCCCAGTAGTGCACAACACAGTGAAATCGCTGCAACACTGCAAAATTAGCACAACACAAAATTAGTCATATGTTGTGATTTGTTTGCGTTGTGTTGCGGTTTGTTTTCGTTATGTTGTGGCTTGTTTCTGTTGCGTTGCGACTTGTTTGCGTTGTGTTTCGACTAGTTCGTGCTGCGTTGCGGCTTGTTTCCGTTGCGTTGCGACTTGTTTGTGTTGTGTTTCGACTTGTTCGTGCTGCGTTGCGGCTTGTTTCCGTTGCGTTGCGACTTGTTTGTGTTGTGTTGCAGCTTGTTTCTGTTATGTTGCGACTTGTTTGCGTTGTGTTGCAACTTGTTTGCGTTGCGTTGCAGCTTGTTTCTATTGCGTTGCAACTTGTTTGCGTTGT